GTAAAAATAAGAACTAATACGGCAGAAATTTATATAAACAAGGATCAATTCATTCATAACGGATCTGGAGGTTTTTGTATACTATTTGAATTGTTTGCGATGATGGATGTCTCGCCATTTAAATCATTAACCTTTGCATTAGTTTTGTGTGAATAATTCATGTATTTGTATATATAAATATATATATATATATATATATATAGAGAGAGAGAGAGAGATTTTTTATGTTTATAAATTCTTTTTTATAGATACAAATATTTAAGCAAATGCTCTGTTTATAATAAACAGTATTAAATAACATTTAGCAGCCTGAATGTGCGAGAAACTTTCACAGACAATATTCGTCCTCCGACAGGATTCGAACCTGTGTTCTATACGCAACCGTCATATAGCCTGACGTGCGTTTCACCGATTTGGCCACGAAGGAGCGTTCGGTTAGCAAAGTCGAATTTACTGCCTTTAAACTTCAATCTTCCATGAATCTCTCACGTACATTCATATCTGCTCATGGCGAATCAAATGTAAACAAATGACGTCACACATTATGAAATGGACAAAGTCCGACAATTATTTTAAGACATATATATATATATATATATATATATATATATATATATATATATATATATATATATATATATATTTATATTTATATATATATATATATATATATATATAATACAAATATATATATATATATATATATATATATATATGTCTTATATATATATATATATATATATATATATATGCATTATATATATTATTAGTTATAAATTATATGCGGTAATAATTTGAAAGCGTTCAATATTAGAGATAGAGCTAACATATGGGCGTGCGGATACGCATCTTTGTTTGCGTTAGCATGCGTGACATCACGACGACGATCCCCCCCCCACTTCCATAATAACACAAATACACGCAATCTACATAAATACAAAATTTTAAAAAAATTAATCAGTTTCTCTGACGATCGCAAAAACGTGAAACCAATGGTCACAAACTCACATCAATCCAAACATATATATATATATATATATATATATATATATATATATAATATGTAATTTGTGTATTGGGGGTACAAGAGTAAAGGATAGTATAAAAAAGCTGGGATTTGTTGAAAATTAATATCAAACGAAAAAGTTGGTTTATTTAACCTATACTGTGAGGCGACTCAGAGAATTAAAAGTCCCAGTAATTATTGGCGTCCATAATCTTAAAAACAGAAGTTATGCAGATGACACTATGCTCATAGCAGACACAGAAAGGAATCTATGATAACACCTACGAAAGTTAGTAAAGGAAAGCGAGAATAAAGGACTAAAAAAATCAAATGCAAGAAGACAGAATGCAAGGTTGTTAGCAAAAGGGAACAACACAACATGCATATTAAAAATTGGGGATACCGAAATCAAACAAGTTTAAAATTCTGGGAAGTGTTTTTACACAAGACGGGAAGAGCGACACGGAAATCCGAAGGTGTATTAGGATAGGGGAAAATGGCTTCCGAAATCTAAGCAAAGATTTCGTAAGAAACAAAGTTAAGTGTACTGAACTGTTATGCAATATTATCCCTCCTATATGACAGTGAATTCTGGACAATCTTCTCACAGATGAAGAAGAGACTTGAAGCAACAGAAATGTACTTCTACGGAAATATGCTGAGAATACCATAGACTGAACATATGGTAATGAATGCTGGACAATCTTCTCTCAGATGAAGAACAGACTTGAAGCAACAGAACAATGCTTCTACATAAAGTTGGTGAGGATATCAAGGACTGAAAATGCGAACAATAACGAAGTTCCTGAGACAATAACAACAAAAAGCAGACTTCAACTTGACATCAGGAAGAGACGGTTGAAATTTCTGGGGCACTTATTGAGGGAAGAGGGCCTGGAAAACTTAATACTCTCAGGGTAGACTGAAGGTAAGAGGCTCAGAGAAAAGTATTGCAAAACCTACCTGGCAAGCCTACCTGCAAACTGAAGCGAATAGGTTGCAGAGCAGGATTTGGAATAGATGGCAAACATTATTAAGAGCTACAAAGGACAGGAAATTGTAAGGAGCCATGATCACCAAAGTCCTGAAAGGACACGGCACAAAGAAGAAGAAGAAGAAGAAGAAGAAGAAGAAGAAGAAGAAGAAGAAGAAGAAGAAGAAGAAGAATGAGTTTATGCAAATGGATAGAAGAACAGGGTTCAGGAGAAATAACAAAAAGACAACATTTATTAAGAGCTACAAAGGATAGGAAAGTATGGAGAGCCATGACCTACCTCCTGAAAGGACACATATAGAAGAAGAAGAAGAAGAAGAAGAAGAAGAAGAAGAAGAAGAAGAATGAGTTTATGCAAATGGATAGAAGAACAGGGTTCAGGAGAAATAACAAAAAGACAACATTTATTAAGAGCTACAAAGGATAGGAAAGTATGGAGAGCCATGATCACCTACCTCCTGAAAGGACACGGCACATAGAAGAAGAAGAAGAAGAAGAAGAAGAAGAAGAAGAAGAAGAAGACTTAACGGCAGCCGCCCTGGGCAATCGAAAATTTTAATAAAGATGTGCCAATCGAAACTGCGTCCAACTTATATACGGTGTTCCACCCTATATAACTTGAACTGATTTCAAATATGAAATAAGTTTAAGCGTCTAATGATTTTTTTTCTTTTTCTTTCAGATTTAACAACTTAAGTCTTTGGCAATTTCAACCAGGGAAAGTTTAACAATCAAACAACGTGTTAAACTTATCGGAGCCTATTACGAAAATGGACGTTCAAATTTATAAACATACGGTCCAATGATTCTGCTAGCAAAAATGCACAACAAACTGACCTTTTTTGGATTCAGTGGCTTTTACACAATCTTCCTTGGAGTTTCATTGGCCCAAATGCGACAATTCTGCTTATTAACGAATCCACTAAAATGAAAATGGACTTCATCGAATTCCAATCAGTTTCATTTACTTACGTGCTAATACCTTTGGGAAAGGTATGAATCCTCTTCTTCTCCCCCAGCTATGGGTAAAATAGCAGAACAGACCGGGTACAACTGGTTTACCGAAGAAACAAATGGAAAACCTACTACAGGAAAAAAAAACTGCCTCTAAAGATACATGATCGACTAGGCGGGTATCCCGGATGGCACATAACTGACTGACAAAGTATAATCGAGGTATTTTTTAAACAAATTAGACGTAGATAATTAACAGTGCCTTTTTATAGCCATGTGTCACTTATATTATTGTCAAATAAGATTATTTTTTAAGTTGCATGTGCACAGCGACATCCACATCCCGGTCAAGGATATAGACCCGCCGGCTAAACTGTGCGTGGGTTCCCCGACTCGATAGCAACCCACTTCAGCCAAGTTGCCAGCCCGCGCTTAGGAGCTGTGTATCAAAGGTCAACGGCTTTATATTGGGCGGAGGATCTTCTGAGAGGAGGCGCCTGATGGCCTCAACATCCCAGGTACTAAAGGATTGTCCTATTTTTTCTCCTTGAATGTCACCCTGAACCACATTTACAGCGGCGCAAGATGCGCAAACTCGATAAATGAATAAATAAAGATTTACGTAAGTGGCGAAGTCATCGTTCTAAGTAACTGATTAATCGAAATACGTACTGTGTAATTCGTTATGTTTTCTTTCTTTTATTACTATAGATTAGCAGCTACATCACATGACGATTATTAAAAAAAAAAAGAGTAAAGATATATTGATTAAATTTTATAAGAGTTAATAGGCGGGGTCAGTAGACCAGCTGCTATCCAAGACTATAGAACACGGTGTGTCCTGCTATTTACCCATAGCTGGGGGGGGGAAGAAGAAGATTTATATCTTTCCCAAGGGCCAGTTGCCATCCAAAGCTATAGAACCCATTCTGTCCTGCTATTTACCCATAGGTGGAGGGAGAAGAAGAGGATACACACCTTACTTAACGGTATTAGAACGAAAGTGAATGTAATGCATTCAAATAGAATTCGAAATCGGCTCTCCGGTTCCTCAATCCATGACGCTATACAATACCCCACCGTTGGGGACACATGCATTAATTCAAATAATATCTTGAAGAGGGCTATGAAGTACAAAGACATTTTTTTATTTTTTATTTTTTTTTTATTTCTTCCTTCAAATTTTGTGAGGGCGTCTAATGCATCTGAACGTCTTATAAACAGTGAGAATGGCGGTAATACGAAAAATAAAAAAATTCGGGATGTTAAGTCTAACTCAGCCAAACATTCCTGCCTGGACTGAAAGAATATCGTCTTGTTTCATAACGAGTAGAAAGTAGATTCGCAAGCGAATAAAGGAAGTGAAAAAGAGATATGGAGACAGCGTCAAGGGCAGGGAGTATAAACTATATTTTTGACTTTGGTTTAAATGTGTTAGACTCACCCGTGAG